GGGGGGGGGGGGTTTTTGGGATGGGGGTAATGTTAAAGAAAAAAAAAAAAAAAGAAAAAAAAAAAAAAAAAAAAAAAAAAAAAAAAAAAAAGGTACCTGGAGATGGGGGTGGATTTTCCTGACACTGGTTGGGGTGTGCCCTTTCCTGAAGAGCTCTGAGGGCTGGGCTCCATCTTTAATCTCTTCACCGCTGGAGTCTCTGAGCTGGGCACAGTTGTCTGACGCTTACCGGAGACAAAAGAGCAGCTACATTAAGTTTAAACTTTACCTAACCCTTAGCAATGAAGAGAAACAGACTAGATGAAATAAGGAGATACTAGGCAGATAATATAACATTATGGCTTAATACAAAAATCGTCTCATCTACTCAACCTCATGACTTTCTTCAGATGAACAATTTTTTTTTTAGGCAAATAATCCATCACTGAGTCCATGTAATGCAAGTGTATGGGACTCCCAAAGTTGATGCTTCAAAAACCAAAGTGAACATAACAGTGCTCGGTCCATCTGCACCACTTCTTAAGTGAGTTTTACAACATGTTCACCAACTGACGTTTACATCAAGTGTGAACTGATATGACAGCTGGCTGGAAGCAATGGTTTATAGTTCAAGTTTAAAATTAACATTTTCCCCCTCACACACACATTGTATACTTCAAAAGACATCGATTCATCAACTGGAGTCATATTTGTTACCCTCATGTTCACGTTGTGTGGTTTTTAAAGCTTTAACTATGGAGGTCCCGAACACTTGCATTATATGGACTCACAGAGATGGATTATTTTTCAAAATATCTTTGTTAATCTGAAGAAAGAGTCACATACATATGGGATGGCATTAGGTTAAGCAGATGGAGTATCCCTCTGTATTATCCCTGAGTATTTAAAAAAAAAAAAAAAAAGTAAAAAATTAAAAATGGAATTGAAATATAATATTTAATTATAAAGAAAAACAACATATTACTATGCTTCTAAAGTCACTTTTTAAATCTATTTACATATTATTTTGCCACAATAACAACTGAATCCTTTTTTTTTACCATGCAAATATTTTATGCAATTAAATCATGCAACTAATCTATATGCAACTCATTTGATTAACATTTTTAATCAGGTTTTTTTTTTTTTTTTTTTTTTGAGTGTACCTTGCTCCAGTTTGTTGGCAGCAGCACGAAGTGTGTTGGAAGTGGCAGCGTTGTCAATAGAAGATGTGCCAGGTCGACTTCCTGTCCTTGAACTACCTGCTGAGCCACGACCACCCCCTCGCTTAGGAGGAGTGCGCTTCTTCTGTGAGAGGGGAAGACAACGAGAGCACTGTACCAGATACACATGAAACATCAGAATCTTCTCTCATACTCTCCCCCAAACACACACAAATATAGGACATTACCACCATGAACAGTGCTGAAGCTGCCTCTCCTTCAATATCACTGTCCTCTGAGCTGTCGGACTCGCCACTGCTGTCTGAAACAATGATTTTTACAAAAACGCATACATGTATACACATAAAAATACAGAGAATGTCAACATTATGGAGGACTAAGATTAGCACTTAAAAAAAAAAAGATTTGACAATGCATTAATAGTTATTTTTTAAATGCATTATTTTACTGTTGCATTTAACTAGAATTTTTATTACTACTAAAATAAAGTTATGAATGTCTATTTTTAAACATTAATGAAATCATTTTTAAATATGTCATTTCAAAAAAAGGTTTTATTTTTAAATGAACTGACAATTAATTCCTTCATTTTATTAATTTTTAGTGGTATGCCTAGTCTCCAATAAACATAACTAACACTTTGAAATACTTGCTTACTTAATCCTCTTCATCCCATGTGAGACTTAAGGCCACAACACTTTGCAATACAAAGAAATAAAAATCCAAAATGAGACTGCCTTTACCTTTCTTTTTCTTTTCCACCTGCACCGGTGTCTTCTTTCCATCTTCCTCACTGTCAGACATTTCATCAATCCCTGGAGAAAAAAAAAAAGGTTTGAGCTTCATGGAGTTGATCTCAAATCAAACATCAGAATTAAATGAAGTGCACTCCTGCAAAAAGGGGAAAAAAATAAAATAAAATAAAAAAAAATACACACCTTCAAAATCACCAACCTTTAGGTATGTCCTCTCCCTTATTGGGCTTGGTCTTCTCTGGCTCCTCTTCTTCAGAACTGGAGCAAAGAAAGAATGATGATGATGATTAGGCTGCAGTAACCATGAAGAGAGACTTTGGATAAAGGGCTGTTAGTATGTGGCAACAGTAACTGTACATAAAGATTCACCTGCTCTCGTCAGACATTTAGTCCACCTCCAACCCCTCAAAGTCGCCATCATCACTATCCTCGAATCCTTCCAGGTCGCTGCCTTTTTTCTTCTTCTTTCCCTTGCCTTTGGGGCCTTTGTCCTTTTTAGCTTTTGACTTGGCTTCATCATCTGCATTGAAAGAAGACATTTTGGTAAGACAGCCTAAATTTGACACTCCTCTTGCTCTCAGAGCCTTTGCTCACCGTCTCCATTGCTGCCGTCACTCATCGCTGCTCATTTCCAAATCATCCTCAAGGTCATGTATGCACAGGTCTCCTCCCCTGCCTTCCTCCTCTCTTCGCGCCTGTCCTCTGAGACGTCGCTGAAGCATGATACTGAAGTGATTCACCACTTTGTTTCTCCTATATGAGGAAAAATAAGCAGATGTGATGTCTGAGCTTTAGACGCGTTTACAATTATTTGACACTGGCCTCTCAAGAGAGCCATCAGAGCTGTTCTCATGAATACAAACACTCAACCTGCCCCACTCTTCCTTTGCCTCCTCTGCTGTGAGCGTGCGGTGCTTGGCCTGCGGTGTGAAGCTGTACCAGGCTTGCACGGGTAACGCCTCGAAGGCCCCATCGGCACACTGTGTGAAGATGTAGTAGGAAGCGTTCTCAGTGACTCCACCTTTTTTCAGACCCTTGAATCCGAGTGATAGAGAGGAACGATAGGGCAGTGTTTTAATGAGGTGTAGTCCTCATAAGGCAAGCAACATATAAACTCACTCAACAAAATGCTGACAGCAATCAAAAATCGTCTCATAAAACACATTTTAAAACGATCTTAACACAGGGCCCTATGAAATCTGTGTTTTGCATTTTAACTGTTTAATGAAATTTGAATAATCAAAATGGCTGTCTAATCAGTCAAATTCATAAAACTTAACATTTTAATTTATTAAAATTGTAACAATAGTGCCCTTATTTTTTCTGGTTTATGTGTTTTATCATTTAATACAAATATAATATCAAAAACAGCAATAATCCAATGAATGCATAACTTTCATTAATCATTTAATATTTAATCAAATTAAATTTAAACCATTCCTTTGATTTTTAGCAAAACAAAAAAGTGCTGCATAACAGAGGTTTACTGTTTAAATTAAAACATGGATGAGGTTTTAAAAGTGTGATATTTCTTAAAAATATTGTTTCAATTAACTATTACTATTGTTGTTATTAATTTGAGAAGTACAATCTATTGTACAATAGGACAATTTCTCTCATATATTCAAGTCAAACCAAACTTTAAAACGTGAAGACCTTTGAGCTTCTGTGTGTATCTGATGAGTTTTTAATCAAATGCAGTTGTGAAATGCTTTTGAAGTGACTCTCAGAGCAGCTCTAGAGATCAAGTTTGTGTGTTCATATCCTAATATTCACCTTCCAGTCTCTTTCTTATGGTGGAGTCATGAACACTGACCTTAACGGAGGCAAGTGAGGCCTGCAGTTCTTTGGATGTTGTTGTGGGGTCTTTTGTGACCTGTGTGTGTATATATATATATATATATATAGAGAGAGAGAGAGAGAGAGAGAGAGAGAGAGAACAAAAGGAAAAATACAGGGAAGAAAATATGGCATGGAATAGTAAGCAGTGGCCATACATAAGACCTGTTACCTGAGTCCATGTGGAACAACTGACTTTATCACCAGCATTGAAAGCCATCATGTTGCATTTCTTACTGGTGTTTCTGTTGGGGAAAAAAACAGAAATCAGATATCAATAACTTTCTTTGGCAGCACTATAGACACTCTAAATTAATTTCTAATTCAAGTAAGATAAAATTAATTCATTAATACAAATCTTACTTAGGAACTCGTACAACATACTCCGTTGTGGAGGAACTGCTGCTCCCCTGCAAACAAGAACAAACTCTCAGGCCTGAGAGACAGATAATACCAACAGAAGTTTTACTGCTGAGCTGTACAGCTGAACTTCACAACTCAGAATCCAAAGCGGGCACCAGAAGGCACCCAGCATTGCCACAATGCAAAACCCTTCTACAGAAAGCCCCTAGCCAGAAGAGGACAGAGCCATCACCATGGCAACAGACCCAGGTTCCAGACCAACCACTGGGAAAAGGCGTCCTCATCCTGCAAACACCACGGTATGTCCAACAGCAGTCCACCACAACACCCCCCTCCACACAACGGAGGCTACACAAGGACAGCTGGACACGCCTACCTCTGGGTTACAGGAGCTGCTGACACTCGCAAAAGAGCTACTTGAACAAAACTCAACTAAGGAGTAGTGAGAAGGACAAACCTCTGACTCCTTAACTGCTGCATCACAGCATCAGGCCCCTCCAAGGGAGGAGCATCCCTTGAAACCGGTCGACACCCCCAGAAGCAGCCAGACAACGTTGGATTGAGCAACGGGCCCACATGCCCAACAGCGAAAGCTCTACCAACACAACTCAGGCAAGCTCAAGTCGGTGCCGCCACAAGAGCCAAGCGACACCGCAAACATCAGATTTCTAGTGACGTTCGGGCAGAACAGAGAGCTAACAACCACCTGCTGCTCTCCTGCCATCATCACTAGGTCAGTCTGAAACTCTCTGCACACTACAAAATCTCCATAACAATTACCTGCAATCCCTGGAACCAACTGCACTCTCACCAGTGAGAGTCTAACCCGGCTGTTCCACATCGTGGGTACCAAAGATAGCCTACTGGCTAACAGCATCAACAAAAACATCCTACCCGGACTAACTCACTTCAGGATGACAAGGCAGGTATTTATTCATTATTTATTCAGAATAGTTTTCGAAAAAGAAAAGTACACACACCACATGTATTTGAACATATATATATATGAATTATTACATGTTTTAAGTTTTAAACAATATTAATCTAAACAAAGAGTGAAATTAAAGAAACCATTTTAATGTTTTTTAAGCATTTCCAACGTTTTTATTGTGTATATTTTACATTTAAGCTGTAATTTTGTCAAATTATTCAAATGGTTTGAAAATATTATTTTAATATTAAGTCTTGGCTTACCTAAAATTATGGCTGTGAAATTAACCATAACAAGATAATGGAGTTAGCCATTTTATTCAAACAAACAAACAAAAACATAAAAAACATATTTTCATCACAGAATGATTTTAAACACAATACATAATTTGAGATACAGTGGAACTTTCAGACAATTTTTTACAAATGACACAAATCTTTAATGTGTGTATACATGCAAACAAATTAAATAAACTGCTAGAAAGTGTGTTAAGAACATTTATTTTTTTCATATTTAAATCTCCACAAGGCCAAAAGTTTATATTTACCATATAATTTTTGCAGTTAGGTTAATTAAAAGAAGCAAGAAAAAAAAAGAAGCAAAAGGAATCCAGAAAGCCCACACACTCACAAAATATTGCTTATGTAGGCTTGACTTTGACCAAAGTCACTGTGCACCCATAGAGAAGAGAGAGGAGGAAGAGGGTGAGGAAGGCACAGGCCATATTCCAGGCCTCTTCAACTGTATCCTGTGCAATAGCTTCAGGTTTGTTCTCGTTCATAAATATAGCCTCCTCAAATAATGCTGTAAACAGCAAACAAGAATAAGTCCACATTTATTACATTACATTATTTTCTTGATAAAATTATATTTTAGTACTTGAAATCTAGGGTACCTATTTTCATTGAAATGTTAAGCACCAAGGTATCAGCAACATGAGTGACTCTGCATGTGTACACCTCACCAGGTGCCCAATCTGAAGGTTGGAGATCCAGTTGACTTCGGATGCTAAATTTTCCATCAGGGCCTTTTGCGGGTTTGGTGACCCTGTGGGCTGACACCTCAGTCTTACCCAGCCACCAGGTGATGCTGATGGCAGGTGGGCTGAAACCAAATGCCAGGCACACCAGCTCACTAACTCCCTGCAGCAGATTTGCAGATGGAGCAGAGTGAATCAATGAGGCTAAAAAAAATAGAGAGAAATAGATCAGACAATAGTGAAGAGAGGTGTATGTATTGCATTCAAATTGTATCTTAGCATGACATGTTATATCATGTAATATATGATATTATTATTAAATATAATTTTCTTAGACTCACATTTATTCAAGGTGTAAGAAAAATAATATATTTTTTACATATATATATATATATTTAATATTTTATATATATATATTATATATTAAAATCATATTATGTACGTTTTTAATTATAATGGTATAATTTCATACTATCAGTTATACAACTTAAATTTAAACCTTTCTTGAAAATGGTATCAAAGTTTTTCAAATCCAACATGAATACAATCTTAGCAATTAAATCTGATCAATCCTATTTAAAATATCAGGTACATTTTTCCTGATGGCACCCACCATACAAGTTCTCTAAAGTGCCGATGATTGGACTTTGGGATGACTCATGAGAAACAACACACGAGAACATGCCATCCTTCCACTCTGATGCAGGCAGCGTAAGGGCACTATGCATTGCAAAACCTCCTGAAGTGTGAGCAACCACAGGACTGTTAGTAAACTGAGATGCATCTAGTTGCGTCTCATTTAGATGCCACTGCACAGAGATATCAGATGGGAAGAAACCAGTGATCAAGCAAAGAAGGTTGGTGTTTTGGAGTCCAGAGAGATCACCGTCTGAGGGTCTGAGGATTCTCACAGTGGGTCTTTTGGGGTCTGCGGGTATATGGCAACAATTAGTAATAAGAAAATGTTCTCTGTAAAGGCAGTGTTGAGAACTGTGAGTGCTCACCTCGGGTTTTTGAGATGTTCTGCTGCTGTCTATCATTAGAGCACAAATGCGTAACCTCACAGGTAAAGACAGCATATGTATTCCATTCTGTAACTGAAACCCTCATAATTTTTTCTCTGCTTTGAGTCCCGTTGTTATGTTCTTTAGGCTCTTGTTCATAGACATCATGGTTGAGAAGTTTACCATTCACTTTCCATTGGATGCAGAATAACCTGACACTCTGACCAACAACCAAACATGTCAAAATCACAGAGGTGCCAGATCTTACATCACTGTGGGATGGACCCAGCAAGTAGACCTCTGCCTGCTTACTGGAAGGTGCAATCACTGTTGGACACATTTGTTGAGATATTAGATTTACTAACTCGTAGGTAAAGAAAGAAACCAAACATTCTTGCGTAAACTATAATATTATCAGATATTTTCATCTCATTTCAATGTTGTTTAATTCTGACAGCAGAACAACTGGGTTCCTATTACATTTGGCATGTTTACCTGTACAAATACTGGTGCTTTTCTCAGCAGTTTTCCCACTGTGTCTGTTATCAGTTTGACAGGTGTAAGAGACCCCTTCGTTCCACTCTTGCTGTGGCACCAGTATCTCACGGTACACTTTCACACGTCCATCTTCCATCATTGTAGCGTCTAAAGCTCTGCCAGTTTTCTCCTTAGATTTTGAAAGCCACTTGATTTTTGGGTCGAATCCTGTCGCAGAACACAGCAGCTTCTGTGAGTCTGAACTAGACTGACCCACACTGTGAACAACAGAATCAGAATCAGAATCAGAATGAGTTTTTATTGCCAGGTA